GACCCCGCAGCCGGCGGCCCGGGGGCCCAGCCTGCCCCGGGGGCCGGGCACAGCGTGCGCCATTCCTCGCAGGCAGTTCATCACTAGGTGCTCTCCCTCCTGCCTACAAAATGTGGGTGGGGGTGAGTTTTAAACGTCAGGGGGAAATCTGGGGGGGGAAAAAAAAATCACATGCTCCTTTAGCTTTAAACGAAACGGGCTCGGCCGTACTTCAGGTCTCATTTCTCTTCTGGCCCGCTTACGCAGCGGAGCAGTAGCGCAGAGAAGGTGCTGCTGGGCGAGCCTTGCAATGCTGTTACACATCTGCGCTCCTGCAGCTTGTCTGAAAGCCGCTCTGCTTCCAGTAGGGCCTTGCAAAGGCTCAGCGGTGTAGGTGTCAAGTTTTTTTGTTTCACACATAGGACTGGAATGGTGTAATGAATACACTGCTTTGAAAGCCAAAAAAAGTGGAATTTGGGTAGAGGCCAGCAGTGTGTCCCGATGCTGTTTGTTTTAGTGCTGTTTGTTTTAGTGATACTCTTACTTGTCAGACCCACGTACCCCTTTTGGCTCCCTTAACCTTGTATTGTGCTCTAGGGAGTGACTCCATTTTACCAGGAAAACCAAGGAGTTTCTGTGGAAAACCAAACCTACCTTGCACCTACTCCCAGCTAAGTCATGGAGGCATCTCCCTAGGGAACCAAAGGGCTTCCTTGGGCCAAGGCAGAAGTTCATCCCTAGTCTCCTCTTTATGATTGAGCACACAAATGCCACGATGGAGACCAGATGTACTTAATTTTAGCAAGGTCTCTTAGCTCTTTAGCCCTTCATTTTTCATCAGCTGCTTCTCTTATAATAATAAGAAACTTGGCCTTAATAACAAAAATCTACACTTTTACTGGACCAGAGGGATGAAAAGGGTGGATCTTGTAGAACAATGAAAGTGTCTTCCAAAAATTCGGAGTATGGGAGTTCTGCAGGGGACACAACGGTGCATAGGCTGGGAAGAGCAAAAACAGTGTATGAAAGCAAAGTCTCTTTCTGTATCAAAATGTGTTCAGCTGTATACTGCAAGGTCAGGAGTCTGTCCGGGATGATGGATAGGGAGATTCTTGACCAGGAAAGGGCCAAGATAGGGAAACTCCCTGCATAAGGGCAGACTGCTGTCTGCTGGGCAATGCTTTGCTCAAAATAAACATGGGGCTACAGCTCTATCTCCACCACAGCCCACACTCTGCCTCTCAGGATTGAGCAGGACTGCAGTGCAGCTCCAGCTCGAAAAGCCTTACATTGCCTGACAACCTAATTCACAACCATATACTGGAAGATCCCTCTCAGCTCAAAACACTTGTGGAGTTAGAGCTCTGTACAGCACCAAGCCCTCACCTCACTCTCCAGGCTGAGTAGGACCCCAGGGAAATTCCAGTGGAGCCATCTCAACCCAGAGAAATACAAAATATGTTTGGTGAGAGTGGAGTGGCAGTTCAACACACTTACTGGCATGGATCTCCCTGGGCTCAGCTGCAGGGGAGCAGAAAGGTTGGTTAGGTTTGGGGATAGGGAACTGAGAGTCCCCAGAGCTGGAATCCTCCTGGAGTCCTCCTCACGCTTGAGAGCTAGGAAGAGGCTGGATGGAGTTTAAGTTCCGTGCATGTTTGGAGAAATGAGCGGATTCCCAGACTCTCCTGTGTGTTAGGGCCAGGGTTAACGTTAGAGCTAGGGAACTGAGCACCTTCAGGCTGGAATTCCCTGCTCCTTTCTGTCCTGACTTACTGACTAGTCTTCCTATACGGACCGTGGACCTGAATGGTCTCCTGTCTTGTTTCTGGCCGTCTCTTGGGTGGACCTCAGACTCACATTATAGGTATTCCTTTTTCCTGGCTGGATGTTGGACTTCATTGGGATGTGACGTTCCCATCCCACTCAGGTCCCCCATGTTATGTCCCTGTGCCAGCTCCATAACTGCCCTGGCTCTGTGCCATGGTCCAGCTCCAACTTGCTCATGCCATGTCCCTGCCCTGGCTCTGTGGCCTTGTCACAGCCCTCTATCTCTCGCTTAGGTCCATGTATGTGTTTCCTAACTTGAGTGTAGTACAAGGTGCCAGCTCTTTCATCTGTTCAAAAAGGTATGTGTTTGTGTGGAATATAGCTGTAATTCCTAGTTTTAGAGATTTTGATGTGGAACTCTGGAAGTGCTTTATGAAATAAGGGAAGCCTAATTTATCCCTTCTATGAAACCGGGATGCAGGGAAGTGAAATGACATAATGAAGGTGCCGTAACTGCTCTTTAGCCAAACGAGAAATACAGTATGAACTAGTTCTTAGTCCTGGCTCAGCACATGTTTGCAGTCTGGACTTGTAAGTCTCCATTCAGGCACTGCTGTGGTTGCTGAAGGTGTCGGGTCAAATGACCAAGAGGGCAAAACTATTCATTTTTTTTTTTTTTTCATTTTAGTAGCATTTTTGTATCTCACTTCATTGCATCCCATAGGAAACTTCTGCAGCACAGTACTCTTTTTTTCTTCTCATACAATGCAAGTTATGTCGTGAACCATATTTTAGCATAGAAAATAAACGACTAATAAATTTGTGAATAAATATACTTGAGCTAAAAAGCTCACATCAGCAATTTCTGAGTCAGCAGCTGTCTCACTTATTATCCAGAAACATGTCAAAGTGCCCTTTATACACCCACAGAGCTGATCTGCATCTCTGTCCACTGGCAGGCTTAGAGGAAAGATGGAGACTGGCTACAAAGATCAGCTTCTGGAGTTGACAGGATTCCTAAATTTTTCTTATTTCCCGGACTATTTTCTTTTGATTAGTGAAAACCGAACATTTTCCTGAAACAATGAAGGTGGCTCTCGGTGATTTCCCGTTATGACACAGTACCCTCTCCATCTCTGCCCTTGAAAGCGACAGGATGGAAGGAGCAGAGGAGAAAGGGGAAAACAAACCCTGCTGCTGCAGCCAAAAGTTGCAGTTTCAAACAGCTGGTTTGGTTTTGAACATCTACATGAGCCATCCCGCTGTAATAGTCACAGCACAGAGGCTGTTGAACCTGAAGCAGAGCTCCTATCTCATGAAAATGGATGTCCCTGGATGGTGCTTACACCCTCAGCTGCACATCTGCCAGCCTATATACTGGCAATATGCCATTCAGTAAGCAAGTTACAGTTATATATATGGATTGCAGTAGACAAAACTACACAGCTGGCAGTTTTACTGCTCACAGGTTTTTTTTATACTCATGCCTGGCATATGGTAGCTATTGAACCAGCTGGATGCACACTGAGAAATACAAACATTACCTGAAGTCATATTGAATCCAGTTAGAAAGACAGAAGTTCATCAATCTGAGGTCCACCCTCCCCCCCTTTGAGGGGCATGAAAGAAATCTTGAGAAAAGGAGCCAGATACAGGACTCCTCTGCACCTACACTCTGCTACGTAGCCTGAGATGCAACCTGAACTGTGAGCTGGGGTGGGAGAAAGCCATGCCTTTTGCTGTGGGAAAGGAGAAGGGATGGGCTTTGTGCCTGTGTAAGGTAGGGCTAAGGGTTCCCCTCAGGTCCTCCTCAACCCTGAGAGCTAGGATGAGGGCTGTGCTCAGGACAGACGTGCAGTTCAGTGAGGATTTGGGACTGCAGGGCAGCCCCTGCTTTGGCAGCTTAGGGGGCAGGTGAGGGAAATGATGTATTTCCAAGCGGGAATTCCAGAGGGGCTCTGCTGAAGCCTGAGAGATAGGATGAGGGCTGGGATAAGGATGCAGATGAAGTTCATCACAAGTTTTGAGCTGAGAGGGACTCTCTGGGATCTGCTGGAGGGTGAATTGATGAGTCAACTGGATGCAGTCTGTGAAATACAAAGAGCTATCCAAGTCAAATTTAAGCTAATCTGAGAATCTGTTGTTAGGCAACTAAGGCTCTTCAGAGCAGGATTTCCACTAGAGAAAACGTATTTCTCAAATCCTGAGCAGTAGGAAAAGGGTTGGGGTCCAGGACAGAGATTTAATTCAATGAGTACTGACGTACTGAAGGGCACAGTGCACCAAGGCCCGGGGCACGCTGTCACCTTCAGGTTGTGTAGCTGGTTGCTCAAGGTCTGATAAGAACTGTTGTGAAGAAAGCCAGAAACTGCTCCTGCGTAGGCTCTCCCATACAGCTCTGCTGAGACACCTCAGCCGGGGCTCCCTGCTCCTTTCCTGGAGAGCTGCTTTTAAGCGGAGGCTCTTGCCTCTCACCTGAGCTACACTGCAGCCAGCCTGGGCCCAGCCCTGTACCCCGCTGATGCAGACCCCGACCCACGTATCCGTCTCTACAGCTTGACCTTGGATCAGCCTCATCACCGTGGACTTGCCTACTGATCGGACTCTTGGTGGGACCTCATGGCTATCAGCAGAGCTGCCCTGCTCACCTTGCTCAATGGGGTGGGACTGGGCCAGGCTGGCGTGAGCATTTTAGCTCAAGTATATTTATCCACAAATTTATTAGTCATTTATTTTCTATGTTAAAACATGGTTCACGACATAACTTCTATGAGAAGAAAAAAAGAGTACTGTGCTGCAGAAGTTTCCTATGGGATGCAATGAAGTGAGATACAAAAATGCTACTAAAATGAAAAAAAAAAAAATCAATAGTTTTGCCCTCTTAGTCATTTGACCCGACACCTTCAGCAACCACAGCAGTGCCTGAATGGAGACTTACAAGTCCAGACTGCAAACATGTGCTGAGCCAGGACTAAGAACTAGTTTATACTGTATTTCTCGTTTGGCTAAAGAGCAGTTACGGCACCTTCATTATGTCATTTCACTTCCCTGCATCCCGGTTTCATAGAAGGGATAAATTAGGCTTCCCTTATTTCATAAAGCACTTCCAGAGTTCCACATCAAAATCTCTAAAACTAGGAATTACAGCTATATTCCACACAAACACATACCTTTTTGAACAGATGAAAGAGCTGGCACCTTGTACTACACTCAAGTTAGGAAACACATACACGTAACAGCACACTTTATAAAGAACAAAAACAGAGCTTTACTTTAAAGCAGACACAAATAACATGCATGAGATTAAAATGAAATATGGAAATATAGGTATGTATAGATTATGTATACATGCATTAAATTAATGTGTAGTGCTAGATGGCATGGATTTTAAAGATAAGCAGTATAGAGTCAGGCAGCAGTGAAGTGAGATACAGAAATGTTGCTGAAATTAAAGATTTTAATAGCTGTGCCATCTTAATGGTTTTCTGAACACCTTCAGTACCTCCAGCGTTACCAAAGCTGATATTCAGCAGCCTATCCTGCATTTTTATCTATGATGCAGGGTCTTCCACCTCCAATTTTGTTTGAATATAGCCTAGCATAGCGCTGACTAGAGAACTGATTGTTCTTTAGGGCCTCATATGCAACGAGCAGGGATATTTCTCTGGCTCCTGATAGTCAAAAGTCCACAGCACAGTTATTATTTACCCAGTGAACAGCACACACCAGTGCTTTCACAGCTGATGCCAACTCCCAAACTTAGCCTGCTGGACTCTGACGCCAGCATAGCCGGTTTTGAACTCCACAGAGCTGGAAAAAGCTGTGTTTACTGCAGGGATGCTGCTGGCAAACCTGTCCTCACTGTTTCCCTTAGCCAGAGTTCATCTTGGATAGTTCTTGCTGTCGTCGTAAAAACGAGGCAATAAACTGCTATATAATCGTCGTAATGTAAGTTGTTACCACCCGAGTAAGTGTTCTGAAATGGGTGACAGGTAGACAAACTTAGCTGGGAGCCCTGAAAGGCTTCAGACGAGACCTCTGGGCAGCCAGATGAGGCTCAGGGCTGCACGGTTTATCACCGCAGAAGCCGCTCTGCCTTTTGGTGAGGCCTCACCTCTTCGTCTCGGGTCCAGATCCAGAGGCCATCCCTCTCAGTGGGTTCTGGTTGTAAGGATGGGCATCTGATGTGTGTTTTACATCGGCTCCAAAGCAATGCTTGAAACAACACACCAGGCTGTTAAAAAATACTTCAGCTAAATGACAAGAACACGTAGTTGTCTGGGTCTCCAGAAAACCGAAATCGTAGTTCAGCCAAGTGACATTTCTCAGGGCTGGTTCAGCACACGGTTGGTTTTCCCCCAGAGGAGGACGAAAACCTGCCTTTGGCCAGGACCCTGGTCCTCCGCCCCGCCTGAAGCCCTCCGGCACGGGCCCTCCGCGGGCACCGCCGGCCGCCCGCGGCCCTGTGGGCGGGCGCGGGGGCGGCCTCCTTCCCTC